TGTGTGTGTGTGTGTGTGTGTGTGTGTGTGTGTGTGCCCAAAATCCCAGGAGGAGAATGGAGGAGAAGGGATTGCAGCATGGCCATTCCCCCTGGGGGAGTGACTTCTCATTTTCCCTCTCACTGCCTCTCTCTGTCTCTCTCCTGTGAGTGCAAGTGCCCTATAACAAGTCTTTTCAAAACCGTGAGCACTGAACCAGGTCCGTCCTCAGCAGCTCAGGTCTGCCGTCGGCCCCCTGACTTGGATAGTGTATTCCAGTTGTATGAGATGTGACCGTGGAAAAAGCCGGGTGAAGGAACCTTGGGACTCTACTCTTGTCACAACTTCCTGTGAGTCAAATTCTTTCAAAATGAAATGTTAAGGAAAAAAAAAAAAGAAAGAAAGAGAGAGAGAAAGAAAGCTTTGCCTCTGGGATTAAAAAAAGAAAGAAAGAGAGAGAGAAAGAAAACTTTGCCTCTGGGATGAGTTTAGAATATAGGCGATCTTTTCTATTTTTTCTCAAGCAATTGAGAAGCTTTCTGCCATGACTGATGAAGGGAAGGGGCAAAACTGTGACAGGTAGCATCCCGGGACCTCTTCTGAGTCCCTGGATCTAGCTTTGCCTGAAGCCCATACCCCTTGGGTTTCTCAGTGATGAGAACCACGCAGGCCCTTCTATGTCTAAGTTCATTGGAGTTGCGTTTTTGCCACTTGTTCCTGGGCTAGCCCTGACACGTTTCAACCTCCAGCCCCACTGTGCAGATGAGGAGAGTGAGGTGTGGAGGGTTTCAGTGTCTCCCTTGTCCTTCGGCCTCCCTTGCAGCAGGAGATGTTGGAGGTGGGGTGGGAAGTGGGGGCATCACCCACCTGAGAGCAATGTAGAGAACAATGGTGAAAGCCAAGAAGACCATGGAGACTCCGCAACCCGCCTGGGAGATGCGTGTGAGGGCCTGCACGGTGGCCTTGTCCAAGACGGGCCTCTGTGGGAGACACCCCGCCCCCCAACCCAGGTCACATGAGTTAGCAGCCAGGTCCACACACCCCCAGAGGCAGCTCCCTCCCTACCACGGGGATGAGGGCGGAGTGGGCTGTTACCAGCAGCAGCGTAAAGAAGGTTAGATGGTCACAGTGGCAGATAGTCCTCTGGGCTTTGTGCTCCGTGAAGCAGCCCTTGGAAGACCAGTCTCCTGTGGGCCCTGGGGAGATAGTGAGTGAGTGGAGGGGAGGAGAGAGGAGAGACGCTGCCCCGTGCGGGAGCCCATACACCCCCTGGCCATCTTACCCCAGGGAGGTGCTCCAGGCCCTACCTTTAGTCACATCCCAGAATACACAGGTGAAGGTCATGTTCTGAAACCAGAGAATGGGAGGCGGGAGAGGAGGGGAAGGCTGGGAGAAGGGTCTCGGCATGTGCGTGCATTAGGCAGAAGGCAGGGCCCACTCCCATGGGTGGCGTGGGGAGAATAACCGTCACTTAATGTGGTCAGTGAGGGGTACCAGTGAGGTGTGGAGCTGCTGGTGGAGGGTTTGCAAGTCTGCACGTGCTTTATGGGAGCATGTACGAAGGGGCCTCCAAAAGCTCATGAAAATGAGTGTCATGAAATAACTATACGTGGATGTTAAACTTGTTTTGCACGGAAATACGCTCATAGTTTAATTCCATCTTCCAGGCACTTTCGAAGTCCCTCATAGGTGGGCAAGTATGGCGTGCCATGGCTGCAGGTGTGCTTGGCCGGCCCTTACGAGCAGGCCTGTCAGTGTGTGAATGGGAGTGCACATGGCCTTTCTCAGGTCAGTGTGAAAGGTCAGGGGTTCAGGGCCCTGTGTGGGTCTGCTTGGAGCCTGTATGCCCCCACATGCCCGCCCACCCACCTGCCCCCAGTGACTGCCAGGCCTGGGTGAGGACTCACTCTCTGGTCCTGGTGAGAGAAGACGAGCTCCAAAGGCTCGGGCAGCCCGGTGACAGGCGTCTGGCCCACACTCAGCCCCACCAGGCGGTTGTTCAGCACGTGGCTGCCATCCCCCAGGCTGAGCTGCGAGCCCTGTGGAGGGGAGTGCGGGCTGTAGAGGGGCTGGAGTCCTGGGAGCCTCCAGGATTTGCAGCCTTAGCCTAGAGGGCAGAATCAGAGGCCAGGGCCCAGGGGGCCCAAAGGTCATGGGCAATCATCTTCCCTCTGCTCCCTGTAATCTCTTCCTGAGAATGGACCCGGCCAGGCCCCACACCCTAGGCCGACTGGCTGCAAAGCCATGCACACCCAACTCCATTGCTGGGCTCCAGAGCTCCTCTACTCTCCTAGCTAGGGGCCACGGGGCCAAGACAAGCTAGAGAAGGAGGGTGGTGGGTGCCTATAGGTGGGTGAGCCCTGCCACACCTGCGCCAGTATGCAGAACGCATGTTTGCACACAAGTATATATGCACCTCTGAGTGCACACACCTGATCCACATTTGTAAGGGTCTGAATGCACTGGCTCATGTGGACATGGTCACACCTGAGCACACGCGATTGCTTATGCACGGGAATAGTAAACAAAACACGCATGGGGCCTGCAGTCAGAATAGTGGTTAAGGCGCTGGACTCCCATGTTGGTGACCAAGGTTCTAGTCCCAGACATGGCAGCTTGAAACTCACATCAGGCGTGTGTGCATGTGTGCATGTGTGCCAACGATCCTGCGAGGAGAATGGAGGAGAATGGCCATCCCCCCTGAGGGGTGATTTCTTTCTTTTGGCCTCACTGTCTCTGTCTTTGAAGTGAGTGCACATACCTGATAGCAAAAGTCTCTCAAAGAAAGAAAGGAAGAAAGAGAGGAAAGAAAGAGAAAGAAAGAAGGAAGGAAGAAAGAAAAACAGGCATGATCATGGACACACAAGGGTACATGCACACATGGGGATACATATGAGGGGGTCTTCAAAAAGTTCACGGAAAACACAAATGATAGAAAGCCTATGGCTGGATCTCTAAATGTTAGGCACCAAAACCCTTATACTTTAATTCTATTTTCCCGTGAACTTTTTCAAGTCCCCGTCTGTACAAGTCTAAGGGCACGAGTGTGTGGGTGGGGCACATCTGAGTGTGTGTGAGCGGTGCGAGTCTGAGCTCGCACACTCTGCAGACTGAGCCTGGGATGGCCCTGACACTCCAGGAGGCTCTCCGCCTCCTCCACCCCCGACCCTCAGCAGTCTTCAGTGAGGACGGGCTGGGCCAGGGACCCTGGGAAACAGCGTGTGTCCTCGGGGCTTCCCTGAGTCCCCATCAGGCCTCTCCTCACCTTGAAGAGGTTCCCTGGACTGATGTCCAGTATAGTTATGGCCAGCCGGACCACCGACCTGTTGCCTGGCAGGGACCTGAAAAGGCTCCTGGGATCTGGCCCACACTCAGCCCCACCAGGCGGTTGTTCAGCACGTGGCTGCCATCCCCCAGGCTGAGCTGCGAGCCCTGTGGAGGGGAGTGCGGGCTGTAGAGGGGCTGGAGTCCTGGGAGCCTCCAGGATTTGCAGCCTTAGCCTAGAGGGCAGAATCAGAGGCCAGGGCCCAGGGGGCCCAAAGGTCATGGGCAATCATCTTCCCTCTGCTCCCTGTAATCTCTTCCTGAGAATGGACCCGGCCAGGCCCCACACCCTAGGCCGACTGGCTGCAAAGCCATGCACACCCAACTCCATTGCTGGGCTCCAGAGCTCCTCTACTCTCCTAGCTAGGGGCCACGGGGCCAAGACAAGCTAGAGAAGGAGGGTGGTGGGTGCCTATAGGTGGGTGAGCCCTGCCACACCTGCGCCAGTATGCAGAACGCATGTTTGCACACAAGTATATATGCACCTCTGAGTGCACACACCTGATCCACATTTGTAAGGGTCTGAATGCACTGGCTCATGTGGACATGGTCACACCTGAGCACACGCGATTGCTTATGCACGGGAATAGTAAACAAAACACGCATGGGGCCTGCAGTCAGAATAGTGGTTAAGGCGCTGGACTCCCATGTTGGTGACCAAGGTTCTAGTCCCAGACATGGCAGCTTGAAACTCACATCAGGCGTGTGTGCATGTGTGCATGTGTGCCAACGATCCTGCGAGGAGAATGGAGGAGAATGGCCATCCCCCCTGAGGGGTGATTTCTTTCTTTTGGCCTCACTGTCTCTGTCTTTGAAGTGAGTGCACATACCTGATAGCAAAAGTCTCTCAAAGAAAGAAAGGAAGAAAGAGAGGAAAGAAAGAGAAAGAAAGAAGGAAGGAAGAAAGAAAAACAGGCATGATCATGGACACACAAGGGTACATGCACACATGGGGATACATATGAGGGGGTCTTCAAAAAGTTCACGGAAAACACAAATGATAGAAAGCCTATGGCTGGATCTCTAAATGTTAGGCACCAAAACCCTTATACTTTAATTCTATTTTCCCGTGAACTTTTTCAAGTCCCCGTCTGTACAAGTCTAAGGGCACGAGTGTGTGGGTGGGGCACATCTGAGTGTGTGTGAGCGGTGCGAGTCTGAGCTCGCACACTCTGCAGACTGAGCCTGGGATGGCCCTGACACTCCAGGAGGCTCTCCGCCTCCTCCACCCCCGACCCTCAGCAGTCTTCAGTGAGGACGGGCTGGGCCAGGGACCCTGGGAAACAGCGTGTGTCCTCGGGGCTTCCCTGAGTCCCCATCAGGCCTCTCCTCACCTTGAAGAGGTTCCCTGGACTGATGTCCAGTATAGTTATGGCCAGCCGGACCACCGACCTGTTGCCTGGCAGGGACCTGAAAAGGCTCCTGGGAAGTCGGACTCCATTGGGGGGCTTGTCCTCACCCTTTGCCGTCACCTGCATTGGAATCTGCAACCACATAGATCCGGCAATTCCCACCTTTACCCAAGGGTTCCAGTCCCAACACAGATCCTGCTGTCCACCCCCCTCTCCCCAGTCAAGAGAGGAAACTGAGGCACAGGGGTGGAAAGGCAGTGCCTACGGGCTGTCGCTCTGAGAGGCAGGACACCGGGAGCCCTGGCCCAGCTCTGCACCTGCCAGGCTGTGAGCTCCCAGCCCAGCACGGCACTTGTGGTGCCTCAGTTTCCCCGTACGGAGAATGGACTCAGCTAGGGCAGGCTGAACGCAGTCTGTGAAGAGATGACCTGTGGGCAAGCAGTGTGCCAGTGTGGGGAGCTCGGCTGTGGGGAGCTGGTGGCCAGGGCCTGGGCCTTGTGTGTACAGAGGGCTTGCTGCTGACGGTGTCTGGCTTCTGACTTGGGAGTAAAAGGAAAGGACAGAGCCCTCAGGAAGGACGCTCAGGAAGGGAGCGTCAGGGGCCGAGACAGGACACGCGAAGCCACTTGGGTGCTGACCCTCCCACCCGTGATAAGCTAAGGAGGGTCACGTTCAGGCAGTGGGGCAGTGGTAACAGGACTGGGCCCACCTGGGAAGGTTCTCGCTGTGTCCCGCGACCTCCCTGAGCACAGTGGGCACACGTGTGTGCCTGTAATCCTGGGCAGCTGAGCCAGAGATGGCTCAAGGTGTGGGGACCCTGTCGGGGTGCCTGCCGCTCTCTTTCTGTCTCATTCTCTTTTATGGGGCGAATAAATCAACTTGAAAAAAAAAAAAAAAAAAGACAAACTGAGAATGGTCAAAATACTAAAATAAAAGTCAGGAATTCCCAAAGCATCTTGTTCATCCTCGGATCTCACTGTTGCCCCGGGGCCTGGTGGCCCTTCCTCTGTAACTTCCTTCTTCTGAGCCCAGAGCCTTGTGGGAAGGACACGTGGCTGAGTCCTGGGGCCGGAGGATACCCCATGCGGACGGCTCAGCTCCTTGGGTGACACGATAAAGGTTGAGAAAGGCCCTGTCTAACTTCCATTTCCCCTTCTCCAGATGACCGTAAAAGTACCTTCCTGCCAGCCAGCGGGCCTTGTGCCTGCACTTCCGCCATGAGGTTTGAGCCTTCAGGGCGGCTGGAGGAGGTTACTGAGCCCTCACTGGACCCAGATACCCGTGCGTTGTCTAAGTCCTCCTGATAATCCTGAAAGTGGGCAACACCTTCACTGTTTTACACAAGGGGAAACTGAGGCTCAGAGGAATGACTGAGGTCCAAGATCACAATGGCTAGTAAGGGGAAGCACTGGGATTTAAACCCAGACCGTGGTAAATCTAGAGTCTGGCCATTTAATTGTTTTGCTGCCAGCATGCCCTTTAGCTAGTTTCAAATGCGTTCCCTGGGTAGAGGAGCTCAGGAAAATTTTGAACTCAGAGGAATCTTCAAACTCATTTTATAGGTGAGGACTCCGGGGCCCGGGGTAGGGAAGGAGTTCCTAGAGGGCAGCTAGTGAAGTGATGGGAAGTCCAGGACTGGAACTCCGGGCTCCTGGCTCAGGTCAGGGCCCTTCCAAATGTTTCGTCCTCGCACCCGGGATAATCTATTACCAGGAGCTGCTCGTCTGGTTTACTCTGAGCACCCGTTAACACAGTAGTTGAGCTCACCAAATCAGACATGGACACCAGCCCAGGCCAGGACAGATCTCAGAACTTTGAAATATATAGGATCTTCCAAAAGTTCATGGGAAATACATATTACGGGAAAACGATGCAAGATTTCAAATTGTTTTACACCAAAATAAACTTGTATTTTAAATACCCTTTTCCATGAACTTCTTAAAATTTTTCTTTCTTTCTCCCCCGAGCAAAAAAGAGAGACAGCACCCTCAATAGGTCTCGACTCTAATCCATCCCCTGGCCCTTAACCACAGGAAATGGACAGGCCCGTGGCAGGCGTACTCACGGAGGTCTCCGGACTTGAACCAGGGACCTTCCCATGTGGGATTGCCTTGCAGAGCATCCCCTTTTGCTGCTGTGCCACCATCTGGCCCCTTTGTGAACTTTTTGAAGCCCCCCCTCATCCGTGCCTAGGGGTCGGAACTGGCTAGTAAGGATGGGAGAACTCATCACCTGAGAGGGTTCCAGAGAGAAGTGCAGGTCTTCAGAGAGGTTGGTGTTGAAGTTCTGGACCAAAACCTTCACGAAAGACATATTCACTGTATTCGTCTTATTCTCCTCCACCAGATGGGTCTCGTAATTCAGCCAGTAACTGCAAAGGGCCAGGGGTTGGGGGAGAGGAGGATCACCCAGACTGAGTTAACCTTAACTGGTTAGGCTCTGGAGATGAGCAGGCCAACCCCGAATATCAAAGCCAAGGCCCCGAGATCACCGTGTGAGAAAGAAGAGCGCTTGGGAGCAATCGAGGCTGGTCCTGAGGGATTCCAGCTCAGGGTCCCTCTGAATATTTTACGTGCTCGTCTCGTTTTTTTTGGCAGTGAAATACATACAACATAGACTCGACCATTTTCACATGCACACTTCAGTGGCATGAAGTTCATTCACAGTGGATGCTGTGCAACGCCCCGCCTTCCCCCTCCTTCTAGTTCCGGAACGTTTTCATCACCCTCAAAGGAAACCACATTCCCATTAAGCAGTCACTCACTTCCTCCTTCCCCAGCAACCACTAATCGGCTGTTGTCGCTGCGAATTTCCCTATTCTGGGTATTTCATACAAATGGAATCATTTGAGGGGTCTCCAAAAAGTCCATGGAAAATGCACATTATGAAAAAACTAGCTAGGGTCAGCAGGTGGCCTGGTGGTTAAGACGCTGGACCCCACATGGCTGACTACGTGGTTGAGCTCTGAACCCGGCAGCTTGAAGAACACACTGGGCACCTGTGCATGAGTGTCCAAAATCCTGGGAGGAGAATGGGGGGAAGGGATTATGGCATGGCTGCTCCCCTAGGGTACAGGGAGAATGCTTTCTCACTTTCTCTCTCTCTCTGCAGAGTGCACGTGCCCTATAGCAAATAAATAAAGAAATAAATACTCAGGGTTTTTTTTAAAGAATTATTTTATTGGAGGGACCAGCAGGTGGCGTGGTGGTTAAGGCACTGGAGTGAATGAATAAATAAAATTAAATAATTTTTTTAAAAAAAGAATTATTTTATTTATCTATTCATTTATTTTCATTTGACCACGGAGAGTCAATGTGTGTGTGTGTGTGTGTGTGTGTGTGTGGATGTGAGAGAGAGAGAGAGGGAGCTGGCAAGTCCAAGACTCCAACCGTGGTCGGCCATGTGAGAGTCTAGCACCCTTAACCAGCATGCCACCTGCCAGCCCCAATAAATACTCAATTTTACAAGAGAGAAAAAGAAAAAAATTATGTTTGAATTTCAAAATGTGTTTTTGCATCAGAGTAAACTTACATTTTTATTCCATTTTCTCATAAGGTTTATGTGGAGTTTTTGTTTTTGCCAGAGGGCATGTGCACTTGCCAGGAAGCAGGAAAAGGAGACAGAAGCACCCTACAATGGGTGTTCAGTGTTCACGTTGAAATCCTTCCTCTTCCACTCCTCCTTACCCTCAGGACTTGGGGCATGCACACATACCCAGCATAGTTCTCAGCCCTCCGGGGCCATGATTCAAACGCTGCTGGCCATGTGGGATCCAGTTTTTGTGTTTTTTTTTTTAACCGCTGAGCCACAAGACCAGGCCTCCGCCATGAATTTTTCGAAGTCCTCTAACCTGAGATGTCATTTGTGGCTGACTTCTTTTACTTCCATAATGTTTTCACGGTCACTCTGTAGGGGCGTGTATCTGCAGGCCATGGTGTGGCCATTCTGTAAATATGATTGCGCCACATCCATTGATGGACATCTGGGAGTGTTCCACTCTTTGGCTCTTGCAAGTGGTGCTACTCTGAATATGTACAAGCTCTTGTTTGAAAGGTAGTTTTAAGTTGGGGGCAGGGGTAAATACCTAGACAGCATGAAAAGGAGCCTCCTGGGCAGTTTTTGGAAGCTAAGAAACTACTAGGGCAGGTACGGATGGGGATGGGAGCCTCTTCAGGCCAGCGAAACGACGTGTCGGTAATTCAGTCAGATAGCAGTCCTATCACCAACCTGGGCGTACAAGGTCTTCGACGAATAGTTACTGAGCACCTACTATAAGCTAAGCACTTTTTGGGGTATCCCAGAAGAGTTATGGGTAACTTGGATTCGAAGTGAGAGGAGAAGAGGGAGGCAGAGATAGAAGGTACTTCAAAAAGTTTGTGGAAATGGGCCGTCCCATGGCCTGTTGGTTAAGGGAGCTGGATCCCACGTCACTAACCCTGTAGAGTAAGTCCTGGCCCTGCCAGCTTGGAAACCACTAGGGCCATGTGCATGCATGTCCCAAATCCGGACAGGAGAGAGAAATGGAGACGAGACTGTGGCATGTCTACACCCCATTGAGAGATGCTTTCTCCCTTTCTCTGTCTCTGTCTCTCCCTGGAAAACTGGAAATTAAAAAAAGAAAAAAGTTACTGGAAAAATGGGATAAAAGTACAATCTGATTTTCAGGAAACAAGTTTTGAAAGTCACATTTTAAAAAAATAACATGAAATTTTCTATGAACTTTTGGAAGATGTCTCTGCATGCACACACGTATGCTCACACCTTCTCCCGGTCTTTCCCTCCTCCCGTATTTTGGAGATGACTCTTGAAGATGTGGTCAATTACTTTATTGTTTTGCTAGAGGGCATGCATGCTTGCCAGAGAGGGACAAAGAAAGAGGGAGGTGACAAAGCACTCCCCAGGGGGACCATCATCTCCTCCATTTCTCCCTCTTTTGGGGGATTTTGGGCACCCATGCACACATGCCCAGCATGTTTCTCAAGCCACTGAGTCTCAAAGCACACGGTGGGCCATGTGGGATCCAGCCACCCTAACCTCCAGTCCAAGGAGCCAGCCCGAAGCTGATGTATCCTAAACCCCTTTGTCTCGGTCACTCACACATCTGAGCAGCCTCTTGGTCTCATCAGCTCTGCGTCCTACCATCTCCCTGATCCTCACCCCTCTAGGTACATGGTCCCCTCGTTGGTTTAGGCCTCGTGTCACCCAGGTCACCACTGTGTCACCACCCCGTAGCCTTCCCTGAAACCTGAGCACTCTTTCTAAAATGCGAAGTCGCTTATACTCTTCTTATGCATACGTAGGTTGTGTTCATACCCCTGCCACTGGTTCAGCTTACACGATCCTCTTGGCCTCAGTCCCTGCTTCCGTTCTCACACCTCCCTTCGCCGCCTCCTTCCTCCAGCAGGTTACACTCTGACAGAGATGTCGTAGTTCTGCCTCAGTACTCTGCAGTGCTGCTGCCTATATCCCTGACAACTGCTGAGGTCCAGCTGGAAATCTCCTACGCACCCCTCAGAGCCCTTTCATAGATGGCCTCCTCTGAATCCTTGGAAGACTTCCTTCCTTTCGGCTCACTTGGCCCCTCGTCCACTTCTTGTATGATCACACTCCGGACTCACTATCATTTGAGTCCATTTCTGGTCTTCTGTAACTCCCAAGGATAGGGACAGGGGCTTATTCATCTCTGCATCCCCTCGATCAGCAGGGCCCCAATTGCCAGGTGGAGGTCTGGGTCAAGGGGAATGTGGAGGTCAAACAAGAGGTGGAAGGGTGAGATGGGAGCAGTGTTTCCTGGGGCAGGTGATGCCATCCCTTCCTGGTAGCACCCCCACACACACACACCCCACACAGGAGCCCCAGGTTCCCACTCCAGCTGGAAGGCCCTCTCACCTTTGCAGGTTTCCCACATTGCAGGTGTCACTCTTCCCCGGCTGACACTTCCTGGAGCACTCAGCTGCATCGTTCAAGCCTAAATTGTCGTAGTGGCCTGCGAGGTCGCTGAGCCCCAGGCAGATGCTTCTCGGTGGTTCTGGTGGTTCTGTTTGCATACCTGAGGGAGGGTGCGGAAAGTGTGATGGGCCAGACAGGGAGGAGAGAAAGGAGCTCGAGAGCCAGAGACTGGGAGGGCTGGTGTCCCGCTCCAACATCCGCACTGACTTTATAGCCAAGCTGCACTCATAGTCCCTCTCCGGGCCTCAGTTTCTGCAGTGAAAGGACATACCATCCCCCACCTCACAGAGCTGGCAGGATGATGAGGGAAAAGTGTTTGCAAAGGCTTGGCATATGGCTCTGTAGATAAAAGTTCACTGTCAGGCCGACAGGTGGCGTGGCGGTTAAGGGTTCCAGACTCCCACATGGCCAACCACAGTTTGAGTCCTGGACCTGGCGGCTTGCTCTCTCACTTTCCCTCTCTCTCCCTCTCTCACACTCTATTTCAATCTGGTCAAATTAGAAAATAAATAAATAAATAAATAAATAAACAAACAAACAAAGTTAAATAAAATAATTCTTAAAAAAAATTTTGTTATCTTAGTACTCAACAAAAGGCTTCATATGTTAGTGCTATTTCTCCTTTACCACCTCTACCAGGGAGTCTGCCTGGTTTTTGCAGTTCTGTAAGACTTCCAGCATCATTGCAACTGTAGCTTCATGGTATAATGTTTGGCTGTATTCTGTCTTGTTTATCGTCATGCCCCACAATCACGTGACAACCCTCACAGTTACCTCTTGAGGCAGGTAGGGTACAGCAAACTAAGGCCCCTGTAGCAAGATGACTCAAGCAAAGCCACCAGGCAGCTGCAGGCTGCTCCAGGACTAGAGTCCACTCTCATGATGTCTCGTCCAGTGTCCTTTCCTCTAATGCGAGTCACTTATTACCTGTGTGTCCTCGGACAAGTCTCTTAAACTCTCTGAGTCTCTATCTTCTCACCAGCACAATGGGCTTAATAATCCTTTTCCTTGCAAGTTTTGGGAGAGGATTTGAGATGATAATAATACGTCAGGTCATCAGGAAAGTCATGACGTATTTTTCTATGTTTTTCTATTCACAAATGCATCATGACTTTCTCGACAACCCAATACGTAAAGGACGGAGCTCTTCGTAGGTGCTCCAAGTGCCATAATTTTTTTTTCAGGAATGTGTTTATACGTACACGCACACACACATGCAACAGGAATACGCAACTATACAGAGAGCCAGGCTTATTCCTCCTGGAAGAATGATTCCTCTGGGAATTCAGACGGCAGTCACCAGCAAGATGGGCAGGGCGTTAGATTTCTCTCTCGACAAAAGTCAGATGTGCACGGAGTTTAAGACTTTAAACTGGGGGCCGGCAGATGGCATGGAAGTTAAGGTGGCTGGATCCCACATGGCTGACTTCATAGTTTGAGTCCCAAAGCCGGCGGCTTGAAAATCATGCTGGGCACACATGTGTATGTGCCCAAAATCCCGAGAGGAGAATGGAGGAGAGGGGATTGTGGCATGGCCATCCCCCCAGGGTGATTCCTCACTTCTCCCCTTTTTTGTCTCTCTCTGTCTCTCTCTACCTCTCTCTGGTGAGCACACGCACCACATAGCAAACTAACAAAAATGTATTAATTAAAAGATTTTTAAAAAAGCTTTAAACTGTACACAAGGACATAAAATGAAAAGTCAAAGTCCCTCTTCCTGCAGGTCCCAGGCCACACTCCAGAGTTCACCACCTGTAGCAAGTTATTGCACAACTTTCCGGGAATTTTGTAAGTATTCACATGTAGATCTTTTTTTTTTTTTAAGAGATATTTTTGCTATACTGCGCGTGTGTTTGTCAGAGAGACAGACAGAGAGACAGAAAGCAAGAAATCACCCCCCAGTGGGGATGGCCACGCCGCAATCCCTTCTCCTCCATTCTCCTCTCAGGATTTTGGGCACGCACACACATGCACCCGGAATGAGTTTAAGCCACCAGGTCCGGGACTCAAACCGTGGTTGACTATGTGGGAGTCCAGCGACATAACAATTATGCCATCTGCTGGCCCCCCGTCTAGGTCAAAGAGTAATTTTAAAAATTATGACTGAATTCCCCTCCCAAAAAGATGCACCTACATACACTCCCAGCAAACGTGAGCAAGGGCGACTACTCACACACAGGCTCACAGTCCTCATTGTACTGCTGTACGATTTTCAACGTCCGCCAGCCTGAGAGGCCGGAGTGATCTCCTTTTCATTTAAGAAGGCGTGCGAGCATCTAGCTACATATTTGCTGACGGCTTGTGTGTCTTCTTCTGTCAACTGCTTCATCGTGTAGTTCCCTCATTTGGGGGTGAGAGGGCGTCTCGACTCCATGAGACCGGCCCACCAGACCTGTGAAAGGAGCTCTTTCTGGCATGGAGAGTGCAGGGGGGCGAAATGGGCAGGTGCATTAGATTCCTCTTTGTTTTTAAGCTTATTATTCCTTTGATGAGAGAGGGGCAGGCAGAGGCAGAGACCGAAACAGAGATAGGCACCTCCAACAGGGCCTTCATGCCATGATCCACCCTCAGCAAGTGACGCCGTGGTGGGTGACAGTGGAGGGCCTGCCTCTGGGCTGGTGTGAATTTCAATGCATGCATGTCATGTATGTGAAGTTCTTGGGAAGCTCCCAGCACAGAGAAGATCATTAAACATCTTTCTCATGGTTATTTTAAAATTTTATTTATTTATGTTTTGCTATAGGGCATGTGTATTTACTAGGGAGAGACTAAAGGAGAGAGAGAGCGAGAAAATGAGAAAGCAAGCCACCAGGTCTGGGACTTAAATCATGGTTTGCTATGTGGAAATTGTCTCTTTTTTATGAGAATGTTTTTGCTATAGTGTGTGTGCACTCGCCAGAGAGACAGAAAGGGATAGAAAGTGAGAAATTGACACCCGGAGGGCATGGCGACCCCTCAATCCCTTCTCCTCCATCCCCCTCTCAGGATTTTGGGCGCGCACTTGTCTGGCTCGTTTTAAGCTGCAAAGTTCAGGACTTGAACAGCACATGACAACGTGAGTCTAGCACCTTAACCACGGTGCCACCTGCTGGCCCCTGAAGTCCAGAGTCTTAACCACCTCACCAGCTGCCGGGCCATCTCGTGGTTATTTTTTGGAGACGTTGGAAGCATTTAGCTCAGACCAGGAGGCCGTGAACTAGGCCTGTGTGAGGGGCAACACCTCCCACCCCTCCGGACCTTCAGCGCTCATCCATCCTGTGCTGCCTGGGAGGCTGGCCTCAGACCACCTCGGTGGGGTCAGTGAATGGGGACTAGGCTGGAGCCCTGCAGTCCCTCCCTGGACCAGCTCACCAGCAGGGGACCCTCCCCTTCTGCCCGTTCTCCACAAATCCTGCTGACCGCTGCCTCCCCTGCCCTCAGACCTCTGGGTGCTGAGAGCTTCCTCTGGTGCCAGCCCGGAGAGCACCCCACCTTCTTGTCCCCTCCCCCTGCCTACACCTGTGTAAAGTGTCCCTTTATTAAAGTCCCTCCATTGGCCACTAGAGAATGACCTGCCCCCTGCCCAGCCTTACTTGCCCAGTCCCCACCACACCCCAAGAACTTCTCAGAAGCCCCTTTGTCACTCTGCTGGACTGTGAGCCCCCGGGCAGGGGCCACGTGGCACCAGCAGGGAGCCTAGCACAGTAGAGGACAGGAGAGGTGCTCTTGAGTGAACGTGTGATTGGATGGATGGGGAGATGGGCGAACGGCGTCTAACCATCAACACCCGCCCAGGAAGGAGTCCTGCTCCTGGACAGAAACCTCTCTGACTCTCGCGTGGTTCCAATGACTGACACTCCGCCTGGCCCAGGACACTCACACCACCAAAGGGCATACTCATGTCATCGCGCAGAGGAGCCTTGAAGGCCCAACCAGCGAATTGTGGCTTTAGTAAAGGCCGTAGCCTGAGGGCCTGCCCTGTACGGGATCCTCCCAGCCTGGGGAAGACAGTGCGGCCACCCTCTTTCCTTGGATCCAAGGACTCCATCTTTGCACTTTGCTGAATCTCCCAACATTTGAAAAGAAGAGGGTCCTTCAAAGCCCAGAGAGGTTGGTCCATGCGGCCCAAATCACATGACCATCAGTCGGCCATAGGAAAAGACAGACACGTAAGCCACTTGCGGAGTCAGGAGCAAATGGGTCGGAAGTGGGGCAGTGGTAAACGTGGGGCCCACCCCGTAGGAAGGTTCCAGACTGAAGCCCTCTCTGAGTACCAGGGCTGGGTCCTGGTGGGAGTGGTGTGCAGCGCTGAAACCTTGATCCGCAATGCTTTCTGTCTCTCACTGTCTCTGCGTCTCTTTCACTCATAGAAGAAATACATAAATGGGAACCAGCAGTTGGCGTAATGGCTCTGTCGCTGGACTCCCATGTACTCGACCACAGTCCCAGACCATGTGGCTTAAATTCACGCCGAGCATGTGGGCCTGTGTGCCCAAGACCCCAAGAGGAGAATGGAAGAGACAGGATTGCGGCGTGACCATCCCCCCTGGGGGGTGATTTCTCACTTTCTGCCTTTCTATCTCACTCTGACTTTCTGGAAAGTGCACGCTCCCTATAGCAAAAACCTCTTCCCCCGCAAAAAAAAAAAAATGTAAATGAACTTTTAAAACTAATCAGAGGAGGCTGCAAGGGCTGAGGTGGGAGCACCTCCCTCTGCTGAAGGGATCACCGAGACACACAGAGCAGCCCAGAGAGCAGGCAGGTGGGCAGGGGATGAGGGGCACTTTCCAGGACAGGACAGCCAGGATGAGGCCGTCCTCCTGTCGCCTCTGGAGACTCAACCAGAGGGCGAAGGGGCAGGAGGTGACTGAGGACTGTGGACCACTGCGAGGGCAAGGGAGGGGAGCCGTGTGGGGTGGTGTGTGTGGGTAGAGGGGCCAGACCAAAGAGGGAGGAGGGAGTCAGCCCTGCCTGGCCTCAGCTTCCAGAGGGTCCCGGCCCTCCCAGGGAGCTTGGAGGCTAGCAGGAGAATAGCATGCCCAGGCCCCACCCTGCCCCAGAGCCAGGCTTGTCGGGGAGCACAGCCTGGATGGGGAAATGAGGGGACACTCCCCATCCTCCCCCATCTCCAGGGTGTTGTCAGGAAGCAAAGGGGGCCTGGGACCCACACTGACCAAAGCTTACCTGGACGACAGGCTAGATGGGGTGCTAAGGCGATCGGGGCGCTCCTCCAAGGGCACGCTCAGACCCTGACTGCCCATCCTCCAAGGACATGCCCCATCCCTGGTCCCCCATCACTCCCTGTCCTGTCCTGGCTCTCCCCTGCCCCTGCCCCTGCCCCAGACCCCTCTGCAGAGCAGGGTCTCCCAGGCTTGGAGGAGGCACGAGGATTGAGACTGCTCACCTGAGGCCAGGAGCAGGAGCAGGAGCAGGAGCAGGGTCCCCAGGACCCTGGGCATCACCATCCTCGGGCAGCCTCACTGGCACCAGCACCAGCAGGAGCCCTGCCGTCTGGCCCTCTGGTACCGGACTCTGCTGAGCCGGCCGTCCCCACCCGCCGCCCCACCGCTGCTTCCTGTGGCCTTTCTCGCTCTTCCTGCTCTATGGCGCCATCGCCATCGCGGACGGGGGGTGGTTGTGAAAGGTGAGCGTAGAGAACAGGACAGCCCTCTCAGCCTCCCCCTCCCTGGGGAGCCACCTGCAGGGGGAGCCACCTGCAGGGGGAGCCAGACAAGGCAGGAGCGCTGAGACCCCACACCCATCCCAGGGACGTGCTCCCAGGGCCCCACTGGGGTGGGCGCTGTGGGGACCCCAGGGAGGGGGTGAGGAGCAAGGCTTTGGAGTCAGGTACACCTCTGCAGATCCCTCCTCTCACAGCGGGGCCTCCGTAAAGGGGAGAAAACAGCATGGAACAGATACAGAGCCGGGCCACAGGGACGAGGACGAACATGTAGCTGGTGACCAGGCTTTGAACAAGGCCAGGCATGGCCTTGAGCCCACGCCTGCTGGGGGCCTCGGAGGAGAGGAGGAGCTGGCCTTGTGGCCCCGGCCACCCCCACCAGACTGGATAACAAGAGGTACAGAGAGGCACCATGGCCGCAGGACAGGAGCGAGGGCTCAGGGTCACCTCGGCCTGACATCCGTCCTGGCCACTTCCCAAGGTGTGTGGGAACCATGAGGTGATGCGTGTCGGTTGCTCCATCAGTGGGCGTGGCCATGGCTAGCACTCCTGTGTGGTGGTGACCGGCCTGTGAAGTCATTGTCATCCCCCACAGCTGGCCACTGCAGGCCCCAAGGGGAAGTGAGGGCAGCAAACATACATGGACTCGGGCCCGAGGGTAGTGGGGCCAGCCATGCAGGCCTCTGCTCCCATGGCCCCGGGAAGCCGTGTGGATGAGTGCGGCCCTTGGCACGGGCCCACGGCCACTGGGAGATGGGGAGGTGAAGGGACCCCACCGAGAAGGTGCTTATCTCCTGCTCCCTGCTCAGGCCTTGCCCCACCTCGGGGTCTAACTGGGGGGGCCTCTCGGCCCCACTGGCCTCTTTTCCCTTCCTCCCACGTGGCGGTGTCCAGCCAGAGCGCATCCCTTGCTGGGCTGGCTGGGAGGGGTGGGAAGGCAGGTGGGGATCTGGCATGGAGCACCAGGTCAGAACCCAGGGGTTCCTGAGCCCCTGAAACTTCCTGTGCAGGGAAGGCTAGGGTGGGCAGATGGGAGGGTGGGGCCTGCCCCTCCTCCCACCTGGCCAGCCCTCCCTGGAAGACCTGCCGCCTCCCTCCCAGCTGCTGTCCAGGGCAAGAGGAACCGGCGGATTGTGGCTGGCCGGGCCTAGCCCCACCCTGGCACCTGTACCCTTAGCAGAACTCCTGGGGGCCGGTTTGATAAGAGGGGCCTGGGGATGTGCAGATGGGGACACACTGTGTCCAGCCCACCTGGGAAGCTGGCAGGAGTGGGTCAGGCAGGGCCAGAAGGAAGGCCATCCTCCCTACAGCCCCTTCTCTGAAGACCCTCCTAGGCCCCACAGGGTCAGGGACTGGCCTGCAGCGTGTACAGAGCCCTGGGACCCCAAACCCCCGTCTGTCACCTTCTGCCTCAGTTATCCCAATGGCTCCAGGTGGGCAAGGCCCCAAGTCTTCGGGCCGAACCTGGCCAGTATCCACCCTCTGGCAGCTCTGATCCATTTCCCAAGCCAGAGAGATGCTTCTAGATGCAGACTGGGCACGTCCTGCTGTCTAAGGCCCCACAGAAACAGGCAAGTGCCTGAGAACCAGTAGGGTCAAAGGAACTCCTCCTCATAGACATCAGATGTCCCTGGGCTCGTGGCGGAGAGACCCCAAGGCCTGCTTCCCACCACCTAAGCCAGGCCCAGAACCAAGTTGGCCACCCAGGAAGCAGGAGAATTTGAGGGAGTGCTTGGAAGAGGGAGTTGGGTCCTTTTCCTCCTTCCTCAAATGTGAACAAGAGGGGATGCCCCCAACCTGGGCCTTTCTGAGAGACCACCTCACAGAGATGAAGAGGCCTGTAGGAGCTGGATCTGACCCGCTGGCTCCCAGCCAGGACACTGCTGGGAGCACATGTGTGTGTTGGGGGTGCGGAGGTTTGGCCTTGGTCCTAGGAGCTGGGGCATAAGAGCCGTCGTCCACCTTGAGGAAGGTGAGGGGCAGAGGCCAGGGCAAGGAACAGAAGAGGGGTCAAGAGAGAGGCAGGGCGTTGGGGTTCCCAGTGCCAAGGTCCTTGCAGGTGCCCATCGGAGGGCACTGCCAGTCTACTCCAGCTGCCAAGGTGGCCTCACTCCGGTCCTCTCCACCGCCAGTGACCTGCGCTTCTCTCCCTGCTTGAGCTCCTCCTGGAGCAGCCAGGAGAGAAGGGAAGCGATTCCAGGACAGAGAGAAAGCTGGGATGTGTAGGGTGGCCCTCTAGCCTAGTGGTTCGGTTCCCAATGGCTGACTGCAGTTCAAATCCTGGGCTTGGTGGCTTGAAAAAGCACACAGGCACATGTGTGTGCATGCCTAAAATCCTAACAGGATAGAAAAATGGGGAAACGATTCCAGCGTGCTCAGGCCCCTTTAAGGGGTATTTTCTCCCCATCCCTCCGGTTTTCTCTGGCAAGTGCACGTGACTTCTGGCAAAAACAAACAAACAAACGAAAACAACCTAGGATGTAGGTCTGGGTGGGCTTCGATTTAGACTGCGCTGGGATGCCATGCCTGAACACATACAGCGAGGGTCAAACGTGGCTACTCTCTTGACGGAGCAAGGACAGAAACCTACAAGATCTGCCTAGCCCATGTCCCAGGACGGGAGGAGAGATTTGCTGGAACAGGTCAGAGGCAATGACAGGAGAAAGGCCCAGTCGTTTCCTCCTGCAGCCCACCGACCACAGACCGGTCAGTAAACTGACCATGTATATCATATGACCAGGCAGGGGTTAAATTCAGCCCTGGATGGTGATCTCTTTGGCCAAAGAATCTTTAGGATTCACCAAAACTTTAAAATGAGCACATTTCACACAATCCGGACTCCTTGTTTTTCATAAAGGGAAGTGGGTCTGACTACGTGAGCCCACACCCCTGCGAGGCAGCGACCAGCTAGAGCTGAATGGCAGCTGCCCCTCAGAGTGGGCTTTGTAATCGCCAGTACACCGCAGACCCCACCACTCCCCAGTGCCTCCTCTCCACCGACACCAAGTTTCAGCCATCCTTCATCCCTGATCTGGTTGATATGGCTTCAAGCACTTGAGATTTTTCTCTATAGATGTTCTTCTTCTCTCCACATTTTCTGATTATTGCAAAGTGTTTATATCAGTGGTTGTTGGAATGGCAACAGAAAAAAGCAGCTCAGAAGAAAACGCTCCAAAATGTTTCTGCTGGCTTGTTAGGTGGTAACAGCTGGTTTTTATTTCCCTCTTGATAGTCTAGTTTCCAAATTCTCTACAATGAACAGGTACTTCTTTTTAATATCAAAAGACCAACAAATTGGTACTTAAAAACATCTCCCCATTATTAAGGCTGAGAACAGGATCAAAGGTGACACCTTCTACAGAAAGTCTTCCTGGATTCCCATCCAGGAAGGATGCTCTCCCCCCCCCCCACCCTATGCCTATACCTCCAGGAGCTTTTGTTGCCTTGCGTGTGCCTCACAGCAGAGAACTCTCAGTGGGAACAACCAGTTCACCTGTGTCCTACCACCTGCATAGGCTGGTGATTGGCCAGAATGAACCATGACGGGAGCTCAGTGTGCCCAGGGCCTTTTGCAAGGATTCTGGAATGACCCTGTGGGACAGTATGGGACTCCAGGCCAGGAGGTCTGTCTCAGTCTTCGGAGTGTTGGAAGGGAAAGGAGACTGGACTGTGACGTTTCACAGTTCTCGCCACCAGAGGGCAGCCGGTGAGGCTGAGGGCGGCTTCGAGGTGTGAGCGAGGGCCAAGCAGTTCAGAGACTGGCCCAGATGGCAGGAGGGTCCCAGCCCAGCCCAGGGTCTATACAAAGGCTGGAGGGACCTAGCCCACCCCAGAGTCTATATGAAGTCAGGAAGGACCTAGCCAGCCCAGGCGTCTACGTGAAGCCCAAGTCAGGGGCAGACCAAGGTAACAGTTTGTAGCAGGCACAAGGTGGCTCTTGGATACTTCTACCCGAAAAGATAGCATTAGACTCGGGGGCCCCGGGAGTGAGTGGAGGGTGGAGGAGCTCCCAGGAAAGGCCCTGGGAAAGGAGGAGGGCGGGGAAGCCAACGAGGTAGGCGGGTAGCTGTTGTGCTGCGGTCAGGGCCATCCCCATCCAGGGCCGGCCGTTCCCATCCAGGGCTCTGCCCCAAGTCCTGCCCCGCCCATCTGTCGTTTTTTTTAGCCTAAGTTTGCCGTGGCGGGGGCCACAGCGAGCCTGCACGGAGCCCGCCAGGGGCAGGACGAAGGATGCCACCAGGCCTCCCTGATCCATGGCTTGACCCGGCCACCTGTGGGTTCCCAACCCCCAGCATTGAGGACTGGGCCCAGGGGTGGCAAGGCAAGCCAGGCCTCAGTCCAGGTGGGACAGCTGTGGGGGCAGTCCCACACGCAGTGCAGCAACTTACTCCTGAGTCCTCTGGGAGCTGTACCCGAGCGCCAAGTCATCCCTGGGCCAACTCAGAGGACAGAGCCCAGGAGTCTGGTCCCTGTGGTGACAGCCCCATCCCTCCAAGGTCCTTGGTTCTCTGCATGTCGCTGCTGACGGGCCAAGGGCTGTCGCTGGCAGAAGGTCACAGGCAATCCGAGAAGAGCCCGTCTGCTGCCAGCGCCTAGATGCGACTGGACGAGGTGCTGCCGGAGCTGATGGGCAGCCGCGCACTGTCCGAGCTGCTCTTGAGCGGGGATGGGCCGCCCTGGGCCTGCAGACGCATGGACCAGTACCAGAGGAAGATGAGGAAGCCTGTGGGGGAGCGGAATGGGGCTCAGCCTGTGGGGCAACCTGCCTGCCCACCCGCTCCTTGCCCAGCCTCCTGGACTCGGTCTACCCCAGCTTCCCCTGCCTTCTCCCTGACCTGCGTGGGCCAGGCACTGTGCTCAGTGTCTCCGTGTCACCTCCCTCATCTCGGGGCTCCTGCGAGCTCAGTCCCAGGCATGACTATTCTGTTTTACCAACAAGGGAACTGAGGCCAGGGAGGCCAGGTAAGGGGACCTGGCTGAGCCAGGGGTCAGACCTCGGTGACCTGGCTCTAAGGCCACCCGTTTAAACCCTGTGTGACCTCGTCGCCCCTACAGTGATACAATACCACAATCTATTAGTAGCTCAATAAGTCATGTGACCGTATGGTCCTACCTGATAGGCCATAGCGTCCCCGTCATTTCATAGGCGAGAGAGTAAAGACTCTAGAGTTAAATACTTGAAGTTGGTGACATCTCCCCCGTCCCTCATCCACTGGGCCTGTTCCTTTCATCCTTTTTTCAGACTACTTTTTTAGGGTCTCTCTATGTCACGATCCTCCTGCCTCTGCTTCCTGAGTAGCTGGGACCACAGGCACATGCTTCTGCACCTCACTTCTCTAGGGTGGGCTGAGAATCGAACCCAGGCCTCCCACGTGGCCTCAGTCTGCTCCACAACTGCATCTACCAGCGCATGCTCCTGCAGTAACCCTCGGTAGAAGGCTGGCCTTGCAGCCTCCCCACTCAGCATAGCCGGAGGGGTATGGGCGTGTGCGCATGCACCTGTGTCTGGAGGAGGTGGGACAGGCAAGGGTGGAGGGTGCAGACAGAGCAGGGAGGGCTCCGTCCATACTCCGTCATGCTCCGTCCCATACTCCCACTTCAGAAATGAGGAAATGGAGGTTCAGAGAAGAGCCAGGACTTATGCGAGGTCACCAGGTGAGCGAGAGGCATTGGGCTGGACCACTCACGATCCTGCCTCTCTGCCTTTTTTTTCCTGCCCCTTTCCCTGCCCAACTCCCTCGCTGGCCTCAAGCCTGCTTCTCCACACTGTCCTCCCACGTGCAAGCTTGTTCCAACCTCAGGGCCTGGGTCGTCGCTCTGCCCACCCCCACCTGGAGCTCCAGCCCCTAGATAGGGTGTGAATCCCCTGGGTGTCTTGCTAAAAGCACAGCCTGCTCCAGCCAGTCCAGTGTGGACCAGAGTCTATTTCTAACAATCTCCCCACAATGCTGATGCCGCGGGTCTGTGGCGTGCTCTTGGAGTAACGAGGTTCCAGATCTCTCTAGAGCTGATCTTTCTGTTGTCCTCAGATGTCTCCTGTACAGAGAGGCTTCCCTGGCCACTCCCTAAAACGTCCCCTGCCTGGCCCAGGCCCCGTACTGCCCGCTCTCTGAGCAAGCCTATGATGGCCATGGGCTCGCTTACCCAGTCTTCCCCACTAGCGCACAGCCCATGCAAGCCAGGCCCTCACCCAGCTGGCTTGCAGCTGCAGCCTCAGGACTTAGCACAGGGTCTGCACACAGCAGGTGCTCAATAAAGCCTTGCTGACTGACGCCCTGGATGCCCCCATTTTATGAATGAGAGGACTGGGGCACAGAGAAGGGAAGTCTTCAGGGCCTCTGGGTCATCTCTTCCCTGCCTGGGGAACCCTGGGGCCAGGGCAGGGGGTCTTCTCCATGCCTACCTTGGAAGGAGGTGATGATGCTGAAGAGGTAGAGGATGACGAGCTGGAAGGTACCAGAAGCAAAGGAGAAGAAGACCAAGGCCCAGGGGAGGCCGAGGACCAGGCTGAGGCCCAGCAGCGTCAGCACGTGGACCCACTTTTGAGTGTGTGAGTGCAGCCGCAGGATCTGCACCACCATGGTGCCCAGCATGGCCATGTTGAACAGAAACACCAGGCTGAAGAGCCCCAGGTTGGTGACGTAGCTGACCAGGGAGTCCCGGATCCAGCACCTGCAGGCAGGGGTGAGGGCGGAGTGATCGGCCAGGCTGAGGCAGCATTTCCATGTTCGTTTCATCATTAACCACTGTTTACGGTGAGGACTGCTGGCTTCTCACTTATACTGTTGATATCATTTTTGCGAATACATTTACGTTAACGAGTGAGGTGATTTAAAGGGAAACATTAAGTATACAGTGATACAGATAAGGCACATTCCAGGTCATGAATGTGAAGGGCTGAGAACCACAAGGACACTGAGCTACAGGGGCTCCGGCCTGGAGCTCAGGAACTCTGGCTTCCAGCCCAGGTTTGGGGGAAAGCAGTCAGGGTCACCTTCAGCCTGGGTGAATTAGGCCAGCGGAAGCCCGGATCAGCCCACTCGCCCTCCAGCGGGGTGCCTTTGAGCAGTGCACTGGCTCTCCACGTGGCTAGGAGGAGACCCCTGAGCCTCAGTATCTCCACCTTCTTGAGGAGACAGAGGGCTACAGCAAAGGAACATGGCGGGACTCATGCTCCGTCCCATACTCCCACTTCAGAAATGAGGAAACGGAGGTTCAGAGAAGAGCCAGGACTTATGTGAGGTCACCAGGTGAGCGAGAGGCAGATTCAGATCTTTATGTACCCTCCACGCCCCTTAAGCACTCCAGCGACTGCCAGGCCAATACCACCAGCAGGCAAGGACCCTGGGCCCCCTGGCCGGCATGTTCCAGTCCCAGGCTGCTCTGCAGGCTCTATACTCCACATCCCTGCTCCCACCACACACAGCCACTCACATGGAAGGGTAAATGACGCTCTCCGGAGTCCTGTGCACAGCCAGGATGATGGGGCCATAGTTGTTCACGTCCACCAGCGCCACCAGCGTCACCAGGAAGATGGGGAAGCCTGTGGGCAGCAGAGCATGGGGCTCCATCTCCCACTCCTTGAGGCCCAGTCCTCCCCTGCCTTAAGGCAGATCTGGGGTGAGACCCCCCAAGCCTTGCAGGTCAGTGCTCCCAGAGCCCACCCAGCCCCATCTAGGGAAGGTCCCTCAAGCTTGGACCCTCCTTTCCAGTCTGGGTATCCCATAAAGGCAAGCCTCTCCTCCTCGCCACCCCGACTGTCTTTCGGGGAAAGGGCAAAGGCCTGCCGTTCTCTGCTGAAGGGCTGAATGTCAGGGAGAGGCGGGTGAAGGGGACGGCCTGAGGGTGGGGCAGAGTTCTGCTCCCAGGGGATGTCGGTGCTGCGCTTTGACCTGGTCCACCAGGTGAAGATGGAAAACCCCCCGAGGGGGCCACCCACCTCCAAACACCCCGATCTTGATACAGGCCCAACGCGGGAGGAAATTTTTATTAACGGGTGGAGTGAACAAAGAAGGGGCCCAGGGAGAAACACGCAAGTTGGTGAGAGACACGGAGAGGCTGAGCTGGTGCCAAGCCTCTGGGCTCCGGTCTGACGTGAGGGGTCTGGAGCATGGACGAGAGGTATCATGGGTCAAGGACGAAATGCTACCTGCCCAGCGGGGCCCCTGCCAGCCCTGAATTAGGGGAGTGGAAGACTGGATTTCAGCCGCACTCCCCTCCCAGTGGGGACCTGTGAGCAGGGACGACCTGCACAGTCGTACACAGGCGCCCGAACCACAACCCCCCTTTCATGGAACGAGAGATGTGGGGCATTTGGAACTGAGTCTTAGGGATAGGGTTTACTGCTTCATCTTCCTAGAGGGGTTCTTGACCAAGTCAGGAGGGACCGTGGGGACGGGGCGGGGGGGTGAGAGAAGCAGTGAGGGAAGTCAGAACCAGGTGCAGAGCCAGGTGCCTGTGCTTGGCCAAAAGCTGAGTAGGAGAGGCACGTGTGGGGCCTCCTGCGCCCTCCTCCTGAGCTCGGAGAGACTCCTCCCAGCCACTCACCCCAGCCCACGATGCTGAGCTTGAGCAGATAGCCGGGGACGTAGGTGCCAAAGACCTCAACCACAAGGCGGTAGAGATTGTAGCCCTCGAGGCCCATCCAGGAGAGGCAGGCGAGCAGGGAGAAGTGCAGGAGGATGGCGCTGGCGCGGCAGCCGGCCTCAGAGCCCGTCAGCGCCACTGGCTCGCTGAGCAGGAAGCTCACGTCCAGCAGGAAGACGTCCAGCAGCAGGTTCATGTGCACCTTGATGGTGTAATCGCGAGGCTTCCTCCTGCAGGGGCGGGGCACCCTGGTGGGCCACTGTGGGAAGGCAGGCGAGGGTGCCCACTCCTCCTCCTCCTCCAGGAAGCCTTCCCAGACCACACATGCACACGCACAGTTACACACGCTCTCTACCCTACTCCTGTGGCTGCAGCTGCTGTGCCCCATTTGTGTACCTACTGAGTGCTCAGCACCCACAGACTCTGGCACCACATGCACATTTATCACCAGCCTTAGCCAGGAAAAGGCAAGGAGACAAGCAGCCATTAAAATAAACCAGACACTCCGAGAGCTCTCGGAGAAGAAAGACCGGCGTCTTTGCTGTTTGGGGATCCATGCCACCCACACTCCAAGTCTCCCATCTATGTGCATGCTTGTGCATTTAGGGGTCTGAGTGTGGGGCGCGTGCACCTGTGTGCAGTGTGCAAGTCAGCGTGTTCACATCCCACCCCACCCCGTCTCCAGGCTATGTGGCCCACTGGGGAACACCAGAACACAGGCCCCTGGACTCCCACTCCTGGGCCCCTCACTTGTGGCACCGCCTTGGGCTGGTCCCCTCCCCCACAGACAGCTCACTCATCTGTGAAGGGGGAGGACGGCCCCCTCAGAGGGCTGGACTGAGGGTTGCAGTGAAGCAGGGCATCAGGCAGAGGGGAGAGGCTCCGTTCCCAAGGCCCCCCGTTCCTGGGTCCTTGGTCACATTGGCAACCACGTAGGTGTCTGGGACATCTATCTGCACCCCCGACTCCCACAGAGCCCGTCGGCTCTCCCTGCTCAGCCCCTTCACCTACTCAGCCCCGTGTGTGCAGCTGTGGACACGCATCTGCACGTGTGGCTTTACGCTCACAGCCCCACCCTCGCCCTAGTCAAGGGCCCCCAGGTGTTTCCAGAACTAAGGATGCTCCCTCTATCCAATGGGCCACAGCCTGACTGCAAGTGGACCGCACTTAGGACCTGCCACGCACTGACAGTCTCAGCCTCGGTACTGCCCGCTGCGCGACCTCAGGCAGGTCACTCGCCCTCTCTGAGTGCTCGCTCAGGGGGCCGCTGTGCAGGTGACCCGTGCTGACCCTTACCGAGCACTGAGAGCATGCCACGGCCACGGGAAGCCCAGTGCTACGGCCACTGTCATCCCCATTGCTATGCGTGCCCAAAGGCCCCGCATGGGATCAGGCAAAGGCAGGCACAAACGCCCCAGCTCTGCACGCCGGAGACGGACTCAACTGTGTGATTGCTCCGTCATCCGAACACCACAGAGAGGACGCCATGTGCCCCTGCCCCCCACCCCACACACGGGGCACATTCTGGGGTAACGGGGCGGGCCAGTCTCTGGGGGTGTGCCATGGAGGGTCTCCTTCCCTCGTCCTGCCCCTCCCAGGCTTACCTGGAGAACAGGTAGGCGGCGATGGTGAGGACGCAGGCCAGGGCAGAGACGACGCAGCCCACGTAGGAGAGGAGGGTCAGGTAGTGCTTGTGGACAGCGTCCACCTCCACCGAGGAGACCTGGGCCCGGAGACAGGCAGGGCTGGCCTCAGCGTCCCCACCTCAGCCCGAGGCTCTGCCCTGGCAGAGGCTGCCCCGTGTCCCCGGTGAGCCTCAGAACCCGTGAGTGCCCTCCAGCTGAGCAGAAAGCGGCCCATGAGCCATTTCCCAGAGGACAATCATGCTGTCAACACATTGTCGGGGGGGTTCCTGACGCACAACCACCAGAGAACTTCCGCCCAGTGGTACTTTACTCTGATGCTCAGCACGGGGACCGGTGTCCTGTGAGGGAGGAGCTCCCCACATCCAGGGGGTTCAAGCCACAGCTTGACAGCCACTGGGAGAATCTGACATCCTGGGACACACACCCTCTGCTGAAACCCACCCCAGGGGACTCCATGCTGGGCCTCAGCACCCACTCAGGGGCTCAATCGAAACACACACCCGGCCCCAGGGTCTCCCTGAGGAATCGGAATCCTAGGTTGGAGCCAGGAATCTGCATTTTTATCACACACTGAAGTTTAGGAGGAATAAATAGCAACGGTTTGAGGCCAGCAGGTGGCATGGTGGTTAAGGCACTGAACTCCCACTTGGCTGACCACAGTTCGAGCCTTGGACCTGGTGCCTTGAAAATCACACCAGGTGCATGTGCGTGCATGCCCAAAACCCTGAGAGGAGAATGGAGGAGAAGGGATTATGGTGTGGTCATCCCCTTGGGGTGGGGGGTAGTTTCTCTGTCTCCCTCTCTCTGTCTCTCTCTGGTGAGTGCACATACCCTGTGGCAAAAACCCAAAAAAGTAAAATACATAGCAAAGGCTTTACAGACCAGCTCCTTCACTTACTGGCTGTTTGGCCTTGGTTTGGCCTTGGGTGAACTGCTTAACCTTTCTGAGCCTCAGTTTCCTTATCTACAAAATGGAATCATCGGAGCTACCTTGGAGGGTTGTGATAAAAAAATGAATGACTTGGGACCAGCAGTTAGCGTAATGGCTGCTTCGCTGGACTCTCATGTAGTCGACTGTGGTTCAAGTCCCAGACCCGGTGGCTTAAACTCATACCGGGCACGTGTGCATGCGTGCCCAAGATCCCGAGAGGAGAATGGAGGAGAAGGGATTGCGGCATGGCCATCCTCCCTGGGGGGTGATTTCTCGCTTTCTGTCTCTCTCTGTCTCTCTGGCGAGTACACACACCCTATAGCAAAAACCTCTCCAAAAAAAAAAGAAGAAAGAAAAACGAATAACTTCATCGGTGACAGTGCCAGGCACAGAACCCAGACCCAGCCTGTGGGTGGCTACCAGGCCGCAGGGGCCGCTCACCATGAGAACTGCAAAGTAGGTCAGGTGGTCGCACAGGCAGGATGTCTGGGTCTCTTTCTTGATGGTCTCGCACCCGGCGCTGCTCCAGCTCCCAGGGCTGCTCACTTTGAGGGGATGGAAGGGGCTCCCATCAAGGCCAGTCCCCCAGGACCCTGTTGCAATCCTCCTCTCCCCTTCAACCCCCGCCAAACGCATAACTGCCTCCTTCTGAGCCTTTGCCCCACCCAGCAGATCCCTAGCCTGCGTCTTACCTTTTTTAAGACTTACCTTTCTCCAGGAAGCCCTCCCTGATTGACCCCATCTCCCCTACCCTCCAGGACCCCATTTTTATTCTAGATACTGTCTAGCCCAGAGGCCCCTCAATACTCACAGGTCGGGTCTTCAACCCAGAAGACACATTGCAGAGTCACGTTCTTCTGCAGGGACAAGAAAGAGGAGAGTGGATCACACCACCGGCCACCGCTCTGGCCCAGCGGAGGAAGTCCAGACTGGGCGAGGCCACCACCCACCCCATTTGGGCATGGCTGGTGCCTGCAATGAGGAACCTCTGTTCTAAAGATGAGTGGGTGAGGAAGGAGGGAGCGGGAAGGGGACACGGCCAGAAGGACCCTTGTCCCCTTGGTCCATTTGCTCACTTACCGGCTGAGGCTGGTGCTGGAAGGTGAGCACCACAGGCTCTGAGAGGTTGGCCACTTTGGTGTTCTGCACAATAATGCCCAAGACCTTCTCACCCAACACTTGGCTGGAATTCTTGTCCTAGATAAATGGGGTGGGAAAAGAGAGGAGGGAGGGGGTTCAGGGCTGCAGGGAAAATTCCCTGGTGCTTTAGGCTTCCATCTCTACTAGCACATTGCTCTGAGATCCTGCCTCCCTCTGGAACTGATTCTTGTGCATGTAGTCATTCACACTGTAGTAAGAACAATACCACGTAGATCTCTTGCAGGGAGATTTGCACACTGTAGTCTAATTTCTGACTTTCCAAGGAAAGCTTTGGCTCCTGGAGGGGGAACCTGGCTGCATGCCTCTTTCCATCCCTCTGAGGGCACGAGGGGCGCCCCATACCTGGAACAGGGCCTGGCTGCTGAAGTCCACCAGGAGGAGTCTCTTCTCGGCCTCGCCCCTCCGGCCTTTGGCCCTCTGGAAGAGCGCGCGGGGCAGCAGCACCGAGTACTCCAGGACCTCGCCCTGCTCCTCCTGCAGACCAGAGTGCCCACAGGACTGAGCCGAACACGCATGCGCACACAGCCCTTCCCGGCCACTGCCGTGGCTAAGCCTGTCTCCTTCAGGAAGACAGGCTTGACCCAGACGGGCCTGCTTCCCCTCCCATCCTCAGCACCAGCTCTGGCTGGGGAGCCTTGTGGTTGGATCCGGGGGTCCCAGGGGCAAACAGGCCCGGGAGAACCACATGGTGTTGTTGTCTCGGACTCCAATGTCCACTCTGCCTACAGGTGGCCGAATGGCAGCATGGGTGACATCGGCTAAGTAGACCCACTCAAGGGCTGTTCTCCAGCTAGGGGCAGGGGCTGATCTGTTCCCGCCAGTGTGCCCAGGAGCTCCTGCACCCAGGAAGGGCCCTCAGCACCAGGAGGTAGCGCCGACTGCGGAGGGTTACGCTGGGGCCTGGGAGGCCAGGGAGGGGCCGGGGTGGGGTGCTGCATTGTAGGGTGCTCCTGGCCGCTATATCCCACTGGCCTGCCTAGCCTCACACCTGCCCCTGCCCCGCCCAACCTGGGCCCGAGCCCTGACCTGCGGCCGGGAGTGGATGCTCAGGTCCTGGAGGCTGGCTGTGGGCGGGAGCTTCCACACGGTGGCGTTGACCCGGTCCTCCTCGAAGGATACCGTGTCCCCCGAGAATCTTACAGAGCTCAGCTTTGACTCCAGGCTCTGCAGCTGCCTGGCAGGGAGGAGAGAGTGGTGAGTGACAGTGGGAGAGGGGCCTGGGCATGCGGGGAGACCAAGGCAGAGAGGAGGAGACCCTGAGGGATACACAGGAAAGAAACAGAGGAGAGGGGACCAGGGGAGAGCAGAGGAAGGGGGACGGGGTCCCGGAGCAAACAGGAAAGGGGGGTCTGGCTGGATAGGGGGCTCTGGGCCCAGCCCCGCCTGCACCAGCCCACCCCGAGCCATCGCAGAGTCACATCTGCTGAGCTCTCAATGGGCCAGCCGCTCCTCCTTTCTCGGCTGTGCTGTCCTGGGATGGGATGAGGACACCAGCTTCTATCAACTCGTGAGTGGGGTTTGGCAGGGGTGGGGGGGCTGTCTCTCTTCCCCAGAGGGAGATGGAAAGACAAACGCCCCAGCCGGTGCCACCTTCCCAATGGCCTCATCTCCAGCACCCTCCCCCAGGCCCTGACCTGCTCAGCCACCCTCCACCCCAACTCCCTGGGGCCACACTCACTGGCTGGCATGGGTGGACGGCGGCCTCCGTGAGGCCTTCCGGGGATGCTGCAGGAGCTGGCTCAGCAGCTGGAGGTCCCTTTTCAGCTCACACATGTCCACCGAAGCATTGTGGGAGGCCTTCTGGGGAGGATCTGGGGGTGACAGAGAGGCCACTGAGCCTGTGGGCTGGGTTGCCATGCCGTAGTCCTGCTCAGCCCTCAGAATGCTTCGACCCCGCTTAACATAAGGGGCAACTGAGGCGCCAAGAAAGGGGGCAGACTCCCTCCAGCCAAACCTCCAGGGGCTCTGTGCTGTGGAACCTGCCAGCAGAGCAGGGGTAGGGGACGCACCCTGCCTGACACCCGCCTGGGCACCCTCCTGGGCACCCGCTCCCCTATCACAGCCCTGCCCCGCCCTACGCCCTACGCAGCCCCTCCCCGGTCTGCAGCAGTCTGAAAGGAGTCAGAAATCCTGACCTACCCAGCAAAGCCTCAGGCGCTTTCTCCCACTGTCCCCTCCTTGTCCCCTTTAGGCACACAGCTGAGGGAAAGCAGTGGCCCCACCCTGCCTGCCACACCCAGGCAGAAGACCCAGTCTCCAGACCGCAGGGTCAGTCCTGATCGTTGGCCTCTGTCCCAGTCAGCCGCTGAGCACTACCTGGGCTCCACATGGGCAGAGAAGGCCCATTGGCTGCAGGGCCCAGGCCCAGCCAGGGCTTGGTGGACCACGGGGGCTTGCGAGGTGGCTCGGGGACTCCACGCCCACCAGCCTCCCTGATGCCGGGCGTTGTCACCCCTACTGGTGCCAGAGGGCTGCAGACTCCTCCAGAGACGAGAGGAGACTCAGATGGGGTGGGCAGATGGGCAGAGGGTCTGTGGGGAGGGGGCACTGAGGCAGGAAGGCCCAAGTGGCCCTATGTTTTGACTAACATAATAAACACACATACATAAATAAATAAATACCTTTAAGAAGTTTTTGCCATAGGGCACATGCACTTGCCAAAGAGAGAGAGACTATCTCGTGAGAGGGAAAGTGAGAAATCACCCCCCGGAGGGGACAGTCACACTGCAATCCCTTCTCCTCCCGGGATCTTGGGCATGTGCACACAACCCCCGTCCCTGCCCTAGCCTCTGCATGGAACCTGCTCCCCTATCACAGCCCTGCCCTGCCCTAAGCAGCCCCTCCCCGGTCTGCAGCAGTCTGAAAGGAGTCAGAAATCCTGACCTACCCAGCAAAGCCTCAGGCACTTTCTCCCACTGTCCCCTCCTTGTCCCCTTTAGGCACACAGCTGAGGGAAAGCAGTGGCCCCATCCTGCCTGCCACACCCAGGCAGAAGACCCAGTCTCCAGACCGCAGGGTCAGCTCTGATGGTTGACCTCTGTCCCAGTCAGCCGCTGAGCACTACCTGTGTGACTCTGGGAGCCTCCCTGGGCCTCAGCGTCCTCCTCTGTGAAATGGGGGTGAACCATCTATCCTGGGGCTCCTGATTCCAGCCCTGCCTGTCCATTCTCCACTCCTGCCCTGCTCAGACCTCAGCCTTACCTAATCCTTCCCTGCAGTCTTTGGCTGGGTCTTTGTGCCTCTATCTTCACCCCGCCCTCCCACAAAGCTTCCTGAAGCACGTCTTGGAGGGCTCTCCTCCCCTCCTCAAGCACCTGCAATGGCTCCCTACTGCCTGTGAACAAAGTCCAAGTTCTGTGACTTCAGAGCCCCGTCCACTGCCTCGCGCTTGCTCCCTGCCTCCAGACCTTGGCCTGGAAGTCACCTTACCATGGAAGAAGAAGGTAAAGCCAGAAGCACTTGGCAGGCTGGTGTTCCGCGGGCTCCACCAGGAGCTGACGGATGTGGCAAGCAGCGGGCGCCCCTGGGCCAGACTCTCCTGGTGCCGGAAGCAGAGGAGGTCAGAGGCCCTGTCACTCAGCAGGTAGTCGAGCCTGCCATAGCGCAGGTGCAGCTTCCCCGCGTGGCGGTTCCAGTACAGGCAGAAGTGGTAGAGGCCCCTGGGCTCTGGGAAAGCTTGGGAAGCCTTGGGGGCTGCCGGGAAGGGGGCGTGAACCGTGAGGGCCTCCTCAGAGTTTCTGATGAAGATGTGCTTCTGTGATATCTGCTCGTACTGGATCCTGCTGCCCCGTGTCTGGTTCCTCTGGCCACAGAAGCGGAAGTCTTCCCGAAGACCCCCACCATGGACACCTGAGGAGGCAGAGGCTGCAGATGGGACCCTGCAGCAGAGGCCAGGTGGGCCGCGGGAGGGGCCCAGAGACCTCGATGGGTCTGCAAAAATGGATGCATCTACCCTGCACACAAGGTATTGGCTTCAAAATATAGAAAGAACAACCTGCGAATAATACTTGCAAAGGCAAACATCATTTTTGAACAATACAGGATTTGACGCAGCCATAGCGGCCATCGACGGCAGTGCAGGTTGCACACTGTACAAGGATGCTCTGGCCAGAGAGGAGAGTGGGGCTGATACCCAGTCCGTGGTCCCCACCCCACGTACACACTCTGGGCTGCATCCGCCAGGAGGGAGTGCCTTTTTCTTGTCTCCGAGGCACGTCTCTAGCGACTCCGAGTCCCCAGGTCAGTGCCTACCCGAAGGGGCTGGAGTGTGTGCTGGCAGCTGCCCACGCCATGGGGCATTCATAGTCATGACAGCCCAGGGCCCCCCAGGGAAGCCTACCTCGGCCCAGGAAGAGCAGACACAGCAGGAACAATGCTGTCTGCAGTGGCACGTGGGCAGCCATCTCCCTCCCAGGACGTCGCGCTGTGAGGTCACCACCTGTAAGGGACCAGGAGTGTTAGTGGGAGCCTGGACCGTGGGGTTGCTGGGGCCACCCTGTGGAGGGGGATGCTGGCATAGCAGATGTGGGAGGAGAGGTGGGAGGTGACGGTGGAAACAGCCCACGGCCCTCCCCAGAACGGCCGGAAGCTGGGCATGAATTGAGAGTGGCTTCCCAGATTCAAGCCCTAGCTCAGTCTTTGCCTGCCTGAGTCACTCGAAATGAAGGGGCTAATAATAGTACCTCCCTCCTGGACCCGGAAGTGAGGGGTAATCTTATCTAGAATCCGGAGGTGAGGGTTCCACCTGGAACTTACCTATGCCAGGATTGGACATGTTAAAAAAAGGGGGGGGAGATTGTTCTCAGAGTTCTCCCCTAGGGATCCCACTAGCATGATCCCCGAGACCTCGCTCAGAGGACATCTCCTCTAGAAAGCCTTCCTCAACTCCCAGCAGTCAGTTCCTGGGCACTTTGGTTCCGCCTTTTTGGCTTTCCCCCTATCAGGGCGGTACTGCCTAGAGCACCCCTCCTTAGCCAGCCAGAGAGCTCTGGATCCATCTCTGCCCTCAGGGCCTGGGGCAGAGGTTGCAGGGTCAGGGTTGGGGAGGAACTGAAGGAGCAGTGTGTCCACGGCGCCCTCTACAGGGGAATGAGGGGAGGGGAAGTTCCCATCATGACCACCAGGGAGAGCCAGGGAGCGCCGTAAGCAGCTGGCACAGCCCAGGGACATGGCAGTCTCTGCTGAGGACTAGGTCTCGGCATTGCCCACCCAGGGGCAGGCCAGCTCCCCTAACCCATGAGCACTGTTGCCCCCCACCCCGTCAGCCTCTTTATTGACCCCTCCACCCCGATGCTGCACGAATTCTCACTCCAGCCCTATGAAGTGGGCACTACTGTCAGTCCACTTTGCGGATGAGGAAACTGAGGCCTGAGGGGTAAGTGACCTGCCTAGGTTTCTCCCAAGGCTCCAGGGTTTGTCCTCCCTGGTCAGAACTAGAGCCTACAGTCCTGGTGGTGGCTTGACCCTCCCTGCTGCCAGCTGGCCCTGTGACAGAGCTGGGTGCTGACAGACCCAGCCAGTCATCCTCATCCTGTGGGGAGCTACATCTGACCACAGTGACAGATGCAATCAGCCAGATGAAGGGAGGCCTAGCAACTGGGGGACAAGAGAGGAGGCTGCATTGGGAAGAACCAAGGAGGGCTTCCAGGAAGAGGTGGCTTCTGAACTGACAATTGGAGGATAGCGTTAAAGAGAGGGCTGTTCCAGGCAGAAGCTTGTTGTCTTGCCCCTGGACCAGGCCTCCCTTGAATGAGCCTGGGTCCTTTAAGCAAGAGCTGATCCCCTTTGTCCCAGGATGAGGAATGGACCCCCAATTTTTCAGGCCTCTCAGTCCAATCAGAGGTCATATGGCTCATCATCTTGCCACATGGCGGACTGCGTGGTTTGAGTGTCAGACCCTGTGGCTTGAAAATCATGCTGGGCTGGGCCAGCAGGTGGCTGGATGCTCCCACATGGCTGACCATGGTTCAAGTCCCGAACCTGGTGGCTTGCTTTCTCACCTTCCTTCTTTCTGTGTGTCTGTCTTTCCCTGGTCAAATTAAAATAAATAAATGAATAAATAAGATTAGATCATTTCTTTAAAAAGAAAGAAAGAAAGAAAATCATGCTAAGCATATGTCTGTTTGAGCCCCAAATCCTGCAGGTGGCCATCCCCCCAGGGGTTATTCCCCCCCACCCACCCACCCTATCTCTCTCTGGGAGTGCATGTGCCCTATAGCAAATTTAACAAAAAGAGGGGGGAAAAAAAGAAAGAAAAGAAAAGTGCTTTAGGGAAGGGCCAGTTTGCTGTGCTGTGATTTTGAAGGTTCTGCTCTGGGTCCATCTCAGCATTTACTTCCTTTTGAAACTACCTCCTGCCACCTCACACCAGTGACAGGAACCTCAGCATCAGCATCTGGGGACAAGAAGCATGTCCCTCCTAGACCCCTGCTTTCCCTCTCCTTTCTGGCAGAAAGGGGCCCCTATAGTTGTCTACCTCTGATCTTCGGGTCAAGTGTCACCTCCTCCAGGCAGCCCTCTCACAGAGACCACTGCTTTTCACTAGGAAACTAGAAGCTGACAGATCACTTTGAGACTCTGGTCCACGTTCCCCACAGTAGGGTGTTTGTGTCCAAGGCCTGGAAGAGCTAGGGACACCCTATGGTCACACAGCAAGCCGGAGAGCAGCTGACCAGACCCGTCTAGCTCTCTGGCCTGCCGATCAGCTACGAGAGCCACCACTGTCAGTACACAAGACCCCCAGACGGGCAGAACCATGGCCTTGTATCATCCCCCTGGGTCAGCCCCTGAGAAGGGGGGCCAGGTAGGGAGGGGGTTCCCCATCACCAGAGGACATAAGTGGAGCTGTACCCCAGGGGGTCCATAGAAGGGGTTCAAACACAGACAGGGCCCAGTGGGGACCAACTGCCCCTGACACTCTTTGATTCATTCCTG